CACGGCTCAAAAATGAGTAGGGATTTTCTATTTTGTATATTTACTGTTTCTAATATTTTTTATTTTATTTTATTATAAATTGCATATAAATTGCATGCAAAAGGTTTTAATTCCATAATTTTGATTATTGGACACAACAATTTTTGAAACAATTAATTCTATGTATAATGTCCTCTGTTAGCTAAAACCTCTGTTAGGCCTACTGCTAAAAACGCTGTTACTAATTTCATAAGGAATTTTACTCCATTGATGTTGTAAATAAGTAACATAATAACTTTTGTGTTAAAGCAAACCTCACGGATATGTTTTCAAAGATAAACCAAAATTTTATTAGGTTTTGTTGTCCGCTTGACTAAATGCATTCTTCATTAATTAAGGTTTTGGTTGAGATAAAAAGGTCAAAAGGATAAAAGGTGTCACAAGCGGGATTCGAACCTACGACCTTCGGCTAGATATGCCGCTGCTCTACCACTTGAGCTATCCCATCCCCATAACTTCCCATCTCAACCCCACTCAATTTTCCCTCCTTTTTGCTATTTTTCAAATGTCGTGTAATCTATTTGATTTTCAGCGACAAATGAAATGACCACAAAGAGCTTGATTGGTTACTTCATTTTGTTTATAACTTTTTATTAGGTTTCGTGGTCCGCTTGACCAAATAAATTCTTTTCAATTAACTAAGGTGGTTGAAATATAACAAATGCCACGATAGCTCAAGTGGTAGAGCAGCGGTGTATTTAGCCGAAAGTCGTAGGTTCCAATCCCGCTTGTGACACTGTCTTTTTTATCTCAACCAAAACTATAATTGATAAACCGAAATGTAAAATTAAATAGTGTATTTACTTAAGTTTAGCGGTTTCGTTATTTTGTCCGTTGTTTATTCGCATTGATTTTCTATTTTTTATGCAAAGTGTGTCTCAGTTGAAAAATCAGTGACACGAGCAGGATTCAAACCCGACCGGATGTCGTGGGTTCCAATCCCGCTCTGACAGTGATTTTCCAACTCAGCCTCACTTTGCATAAAAATAATATATCACCCAAAATAATTAATTTCGTCAATAGAACCAACTAAAACACGTATGTATTAATGTATTTGTATTGTTTAAAAAAAGCAATATGAAGTATGTTTGTAAACGAGGGGCAACTAACATGGAGTATCTTGCGTATACTTTTTGGGTTTTTTGTCCGAATTGTAATTTGCAATGCGTTCTAATAGGGCTTTCATTGGTTAATACAATTTAAAAATTTATCACAAGTGAGAAAAAAACATTTGAAGGCATTTGTCTAATTTTTTAAAGAGATCCTGGCTTTTTTAAAGACCGTCAGGACCAAATCCCACGATAGAAGGCCCAGTGCGTGAACCCGCTCGGGTAAACAAATGGGCCTGAGCAGATGGGAATGCGAGAATAAAACCGCCTTGTTTGTTTTTGGCCCTTCTAAGCTATCGATCGCAATTTGGCTAATTGACAATCAAGAGCCGTATAGTATTTATATAACCTTTGCATTAAATTTCACTAGGCACTGTGGCCCGTGTCCGCAAGATTGCCGTATATCTTTCCCCGGCCGGAACTTGGTTACGCGCCCAGCCCTGATACCAGTTGAAACGGTGAACCTCGTAAAAATGATTTATGCATGACAAACTCGGGACAAACGAGCCGTTGGATAAAAACTTTATTGCATGACACGATCCCTCCCTGTTTATTCTTTCTAATTTGATTATGACTATCAACGGAAAATGTCTCGACCTGTTAAGCAACAAAACAAAAATCTACTTTTTCATAACAAACCCGATCATATTTCAGTATTTTATCAACGAATTAATTGCATTTCGTTTTTCCGGATCTAGAGAAAAAAAGCAATTCAAAATAGAGAATTATAAACACGAAAAAAAGAAGGAACGGCCGGGGTTTTCATTAAAATTGGGAAATCACCTTAAAATTAAAACAACCCTTATCAGGGCTACAAAGGTGACCGGAATTGCCGTTTAAAGGGGCAGTTAAATCCAGGGAGGAGTTGCACCCTACTAGGCTTTTCAGCTTCCTACCTTGCATTTCCCTCTCAGTACTAGTTACGAGTAACTTAGAATATTAACTGAACAAACCAGTGATTTTCTGTTTACAAGTAACTTGGATTAAATGGAAATTCAAGTTTTAAGTTCAATACGAATTGACAAAATGATTTTGGTTTGTCCTTTTGAATTTCAATAATAATTTTTTTAATGTAAAATTATTTATCATATACAGGGTGTCCTTTTTAGATGGCCCATGTGATTTCTCTTGAACCAATGACTTTATAAAAATATACGCGTTTAAATTTTTTTAGCCTAATTTCAGATGTTTACCTTTTTTAGAGAAAATTATACCTGGGACTTCAGCCCCAGTTCAACTTCAAAATTTCAAATTCGACCCTAAACATCCTTACACATCGTTTTAAATAATTTTTTCGCTGAAGAACACGAGTACTCCTGCCCGACGTGCACTATCGATAAAGCAATAGTATATTTCAAATCGCTTTTGATCGGGAAAATGTGCTCTTCGGTTCATTTTGAATGAAATACTAAATTTAACGAATAGGTACCATTGTGAAATTTATTTACTTCCAGGAATTAAGATTTGCTCTTATAATTTCAGTTTGACAAACAATGACTTAATGTGAACAATGAAGGCGATTAATGTTTATTTTAGAGAAGTAGCAAATTATTAGAATTAGCAATGAAACAAATGTAAAGCGTTTTTTCTAACTTTTTGCCATAACTTAGTCATTTTTTGACCAATTTCCGTTGGTTCGTTCGAATTTGTAATTTTGAGGTTGAATTGGACCTGTGGTACCCTGTATAATGTTTCTCAAAATAAACGTAAAAATTTGAAACTAGATTAAAATATATTAAAAACGCATTTTTTTATAGAGTCATTGGTTCAAAAGAAACTTAGCCAGGCTACCTAAAAAGTTATATATATATATATATATATATATATANTATATATATATAATTTATACAATAAACAATTATATTTTTATATTTTTGCTCACACGTAGTTGTAAACGTCATAATTCCAGCAAATTCAGTATCATTTTATTCCAGTTCAGGTAGATGCATACTAAAACCATTTAATATTCCTACCTTACTCGATGAAGAAACGAAAAACTGTACGCTATGATTGACAGATAGCGTACAGACCAAGCCGCTGGATCTAAAGGGCTGAAATTGCGACAGTGCATCCCTATAATGACATGGATAGCCACTAAGAAAGATTTATTGAAATTCCATTCCTTTTTATATAAAAAACAGTTCCATGACTCAACGCCGGACAACGTCCAGTCCAAACTGCTGGATCTAAACGGCTGAAATTTCGACATGGATAACTGCTAAGAAATAGTTGTTTGAAATTCCAACCTTAAGAGGACCATAGGGATAATTTTTTACCATAGACCGAAGTGAACTGATGAAGAAAAGAATTTGACAAACGAGACATTATATTAGAGAGCCGTACTTTCACTCTGCACCGCATTAGAATGGCACTTTAAAACTCAAGTCGCGGGTAAATGTTCGTTGAATTTAAATTGTAAACAAAACTATGTACTTACAAAATAAACACAACGGCACAGCTAAACCGTTTGCCCGAGTACAATTTTGGCATTGTATTTTTAAAATTATACATATTTCAATCCAATCAAAGTTGAATTCCCCAACCAGCATGATTTTTATGGCTCCAAACTAACCTACAATACAAAATCAACTTATCCGATCCATTGACCAAGTGAATAAGCACGTCCTTCTTCAGCGTTACAGAACTGGACGCTTTATGTCTCAATTCCATAAGGATCTGGAGATTGCATCGCAAATGGAAGGCATCACCCTCGTGAATGTTACATAATGAGCATTCTTGACACCCAGACTAGGGTACTTTTGTTTAAGATTTATCGTTTCATCACACATCCGAAACAGCGATCTGGCTGCATAATTGGCCTACTATACTGTTCCACCAATTTAATTGCCCGTGCAAATATGTACTGATGTTTTTATGCACTTTTTATTTATTTATTTATTTTTTTTGGATCTAGAAGGTTTAACTTGAATTCTTCATTGAAGTTTGCAGCTAATATTTTTAAGTGTTTGCATAAAAGATCTTTTAGTTATTATTTCTCAATGCTATTCTGGGAGAAGTGTTTTTATGCATTTCATCTACTTTGGTTATGTAATTCATGTGCAGTCAGAAAAATTCATATTCTTCGAACTCTGTCTTGAAGTGAAATATTGAGGGTAAACTTTGGAAGGTGAAACAGTTTCCAGACAAAAGTCAATAGGATTCTTTTAACATGTGTATACCATTCGTTCGCACTGCAGCTTTAATCTCATATTCTTTGTATGCAGAGGGTTATGTTTTTTTAACGTAATTTGCATTTTTAAAAAAACCGATTACAATTACACAAACGACAGAGCTTAAATAAACACGTTTTATCGGCACAAGCTCTCAGCCTGTACACAGTCTTCTCTAATTACATATTGTAAGGGTGCAAAATTGATACACAAACAACCCTGGTGGGGACCTTTTTTTCCCGGGAGAAGGATAAGAAAAGCGGGTAGAAGGACATGGTGTGACTGGACACGAGCGAGTCGACAACGGTGAGCTAAAATCCTTTATTTGCTATAAATTGCTGAATCCTTGTTCCTTCAGGGAGTGTGCCCGCTCCTTCTTTTAAATAATCGCATTTGTAAATTTTTTTTAAATTGATTAAGGTTGAAATTGTGTTGTTTTTTGTTCTTAAGAGGTATTTTTTATTTTTTGTTAACAAAATATTTTTTTTGGTTTGTTTCTATCAAACGGCATTTTTTTTTGTAAATATAACTTTTATCGGATTTCAAAAGGTCAAATTATAGTTTTTTTATTTTATGTGTGTGGTTATATATTTCTTTTTCCCAGTTCTTGTTTTCCTTTTGGAAAAAATCGTAGAATTGTTCAGTCGGGACCATCAGTCCATTGAGACGACTAACAATAATAATCCATTCGGCGGTACATATACTAAAATTGGAACGGTACAGAGAAGATTAGCATGGCCTCTGCGCAAGGATGACACACACACAAAATTTACAAATGCGATTAATTAAAAGAAGGAGCGGGCACACTCCCTGAAGGAACAAGGATTCAGGAATTTATAGCAAATAAAGGATTTTGGCTCACCGTTGTCGACTCGCTCGTGTCCAGTCAAACCATGCCCTTCTCCCCGCTTTTCTGATCCTTCTCCCCGGGAAGAAGGTCCCCACCAGGGTTGTTTGTGTATCAATTTTGCACCCTTACAATATGATTGGCTTTTTTTTAGTGCTATCTGTATAAAATAAATATTCGTTGAGCATATTTATACACAAATGTGACAGATCTGTCAGAATATATAGTTGAGCAAAATTGTTGGTTTCTAGGGCCGCAGATATCCTGTCGACTACTCGGAAGCACTGCTGAATAGTGGAATGGAGAGGTCGAGATCTAAATTACTGGTTAGGAATAAAGTTTTCTGAATCGTATATGAGAATCAGTCTTTTATGGAAAGAGACGTTCAAAAATTTTGGATAATATATGGAAGGAATCTCATTGGTTTATAAGAGTGGTGCACAGGGGGATTTGTGTTGTTTTGGTATTGGGGTTATTAAAGGTAGATTAAATTTTCAAAGATGCACTTTCGAAAGATAGTTTAAAACTTAATTTAAATACATAATCATATTCTCACTAATTTCGTGGTCCGCTTGACCAATTAATATATTACAATTAATTAAGGTTTTTAGTTGTGATAAAAAAGTCAATGGCACGAGTGGGATTCGAACCCACGATCTTCAGCTAGATACGCTGCCGCTCTACCCCTTGAGATATCGTGATCTCAATCCACTCGGACACTAACTTCCCATCTCAACCCCACGTTTTGAATTTTCCCTCCTTTTTGCCATTTTTCGTGAAATGGAATTGAATTGAATTTTCCCGTGGCCATTTCATTTGTCGTCGAGAATCCAATCCGATTTCACGACATCGAGGTCACGATAGCTCAAGTGGTAGAGAAGCGGCGTATCTAGCCGAAGATAGTCGGTTCGAATCCCGCTCGTGACATTGTCTTTATTATCTCAACTAAAAACCTTAATTAATCATTATCATTTTTCAAGCATAATATAGCAATATCACAAATATCAATTTTTTTGCAGATTTGTTTCAGTTCGTGTTAAATAAATTGTTCATTGATTGTTCTTGATGCACGATTGAACACGAGAGAAGTGCTAATTAATCTGTTCTTTTGTCATTTCAGGTCGTACTTGTTTATTGTCGTTGTTTTTGTTCTGCCAAGTGTTAACGAATCCAAAACTCCAAAGTCGCAATAAATTCTCTAGGGCTCTTAATATAATTTAAAGACAATGTCGTATTATTACCATATTAACAACATTAGACAGTCATGGCTCATTGGAATTAATTGTTCCGGATCATAATAAGGATAGAGGAATTATTACATTTTAATTGGATCCTTGTGAGCCACAATGACCAGCTATTTGTCTTGGGCCCACCCCGCGGCGACCCAATTTAGAGGCATCTCCTTTTAGATAAATCGCCGAGTTTCGCAGCGGCCGTGCCAAAATTGGCTTTAATGGCGTTTTGACTTCTGAAAATGTTTTCGACCCAAGTTTTCAGGGCAGACCTTGAATCAAACGGACGGAGTTCCTTCCCAAGTGCATATATCCGCCGTCGGCGCCCACGGGGAGGCCGCCGGGGACCCGGAGGGAAATCGGCGATAAATTCCGGGGACAAACGGGGATAAAATCCGAAGCAACCCCTGGGAGCTTTGTATTTTCCAAGTTCCTTCGGGTGGGAACGGCTTGTGGTAAATTCTCAGCCGTTACGCCTTTCATCCGGGCAGGTCCCCTAAACAGATTACCATATTTACACCAATTGCCTTTCAATTCATTACGACAACCTGCGTGCGGATAAACATCTGACATCACTCAGTGTTCATTTGTACTTAATTACCACAATTGAGGCAGAATACCATGTGTTCTCCTTTCAACATTCACTTAAAATTTTATTAATAATAGATTACTAAAATTAACAAAAATTTAAACGGGTACAAATTCTCAATAACAAATGAAGTATGTTCTGTTAACTGCTTATTGTTTGGAATAATACAAAATTATGTATTTAACTCTATAACTGAAAAAAAAGAAAGTGAAAAAAGAAGAGTTATTGTAAAAAGGACAAATATATGAAACACGGCGCTGTTAATAGGCTAAACCTACACGACCTGCCTTCCTTGCCTGCTTACCATAATCGAACAGCCTTAATATTGTACAATTATTTACATAAAATTATATATATATTTATGTTCTTTAAGAATGAACTGATCTATTATTCATCCCCGTAATTGTCTCAAATGCCTAGACATTTATTAAATTTCAACTTGTTATTGCTCGACCCTTTATTAACTGTCGAGGCATTCAACAAGACTTCTTGAATTTTCAATATGATATTATGTACTTAGTCAAAAATGAAATATAATGAAAACATCCATTTATTTATTTCTTACAATTTAGAGATAATATTATTTTTTCATTGAGTATGAGTAGAGACTGTCGTGGCATTTCGCAGATTTTTTTTTTATATATAACAGATGCAGCGATTACTATTACATTTTTGTCCAAGACTTTCAATAACATTTAACAAAGCCATGACTGTCCAAAAAAAAGAAGAACCTACTACTTCCCGTAGAGTGTTTTTTTTCACTGGAACCTCGATAACATCGATTTCCGAATTCACATTCACTAATTGAACTCGCAACACTAATTTTTACAATTCCAGCTTCAATCCTAATATTGAAATTGTTGTTCTTGACTTCCAAAATCACACCACGGATGATTCTGAAATCTATCCGTATCAAGTACATCCATCATCACCTAGTTACCAGACGTTAACTCCTGGGACATTTTGGACGAACTTTTTGACATTTTTTCGGATGGATTTTTCTCTGCCTTTCGTTGAAATCGGGTTATATGGACTTATATTAGTTTATTTTCACATATTAAATTAAAGTGCAATAATATTATTAATAAAATTACAAAAGTATAAATAAAACATGAACTTATTAGAACAAACAAAATGTAAATTTGACATTGTAAACATTGTTTTTTACTATGTGGCTACAATAAAACACTTATTATTATTATTATTATTATTATTTATTAGGAAAAGTACAACGTCTCTTCAGCATCTTGAATTTTTTAGATAGTAAAACAACCAAACCATTTGTCCTAGGGGTGTTGAAGCGGCGAGACATAACGGGCTTCACTTTAACCCCTTTCTTCGGAACAGGATTTTTATTGTTGCAAATCTCACAATTACTAATGCAAATATTAATTGCACGATGTGAAACGTTACATGTTTCTTTCGGTGCGACATGATTTTGTCTCTGCCTCCATGGCCAGTGGCAATGTACATTTTAACCAATTTATCGAACAACGATTCATACGAAATCATAAATGGTAACGTAAATCCAAGTTTCGGTTTATAATCACTGTTCGGGCTCAGGCAGAGTAAAGCGGACTTTGCCCTCTTATCCTTTAATTCCTCTGATCCTAAATCCATTCCCTTCAGTTCTCGTCTCGATCTCTAACGGTCAATCTCCGTCTTCAAAACCTCAAAATTCTCACCTCCAATAATTTTTGAAATTCCTCCCTTTCCTAACCCCATCCGAAATCCTGGAAGCCGAGGTTTTCCCGTATTTTCAATCATTTCCTACTTCAATTCTATCCATCTTTCGACAATTCCCCATTTTCCATCCACCCTCTAGTTCACCATCTTAGTGGGTTCCCAACTTCTCGAGACGGCCTATAGATCTCCTCCGTTACTTCAACATACAGTCCACAAAACCAAGTAAGTCTTCCTTTCTCTTCTTTCTTTCTATTTTTCTTCCATTTTATACTTTTTTTCCCCAAATAATCACTTTCAATTTCCCACCTACCTCAATCAGACAGTTTTTTTAACAGAAGGTACTGAGCCTAGAATTTTGATGAGTTTGTTGTTTTTGTATTCTGAAGCTCTCAAATTTTATCATTAAAACACATTTAGTCCACGGTTTGTTGTATAATTCGTATCTAACTCTCTAATAAAATTTCGCGCTCAAAAGCCGGTGATACTGGAGCAGTAACAGAAACCAACAAAGAGACCAAAGAAAAGGATTACAGCTCTGTTGTTTTCTTGACCAACTGATTAAACAGAGGCCGATGTCTAATTAAAGGACTAGGCGTTTGATTAAGGGTCTAGGAGTTTGAGCAAATGTTTACTCATATAAACAAATCATTTTATTTTAACTATCTGCCTAGTCATTTCATTAAATAACTAAACATGATTATCTGAGACAGGCCCATAAATAATATATACCTGCAATTGTGTATTTTACTTTCTCAACTTTCTTGAATGTATAGTTTATTATATATGTATAATTTTAGTTCTTTCATATGAACTCATTTGTATTTTTGATTGCAAAATGTTTATTGCATTTTGTTCTTGATTAAATAAATAATTTTTCATGGGTTCTTCTCTCTATCAATAAAACGACACAGAAAACTCTTTATACAAGGAGTGATGGATTCATTATAGCTATTATTTTTAAAATTATATTAACATCCAAATTTATGATTCGGCAAAGAGACAGATACTTATACAAGAGAAGGATTGATTACCTGTCCATTTCCTCTGAAAATTATGACAATTATTGAAATATGCAAATAGGGGTCGAACATGTGAGGTTTTTGCAAGTTAAATTTAAGTATTCTTGGTGAAATGGTATTTTTTTTCATCCAATATATACATATATGTGTGGAGTTTAGAGACCATTAGCCAATGATTATTTGTGGATCGCAAGGTGCAGTCCGATGTGACGTAGGTTTTAGTAAACGTTTTCTTTATCATGCAAACGTTTCGATTTTTATTGCGATCATCTTCAGGGCCTGAGATTAAACATAGTTTGAATTTCACAAATACATGTAGGATGTGGAGAAAAGAAATTATGAATTTATACAATCCTAGAAAATTTTAGATTAAAAAAATGAATTTATGCAATGCTAGAAAATTTTAGATTAAA